CTGTCACATTAAGAAGTATAAACTCTGTATCGTTCAACATTTTGACTGAAAGTCAAAGGATGAGCTTGGTCAAAGTGCAAAGTCCTTTCTTATCAGCACTTATCACCACACTTTATAATTTTTATTTTACTTCTTATTATACCTGACACGTTAAAGTTATCCTAACGTAGATGTCCAAGATAACAGCTCATCATAAAGAGCCAATAAAAAGTGCTCTTATCTTAGAGAAGAAAGGCACAGATCGGTTTCACAGATTATTGTTTTTTTTTACTAAAGTCACCAGAGAAAGCGCTTTTATCGTTTTTAAAACAGCAAAGAAGCACTGAGAAGCATTGTTTTGGTAGCAGCTTTAAAGTTAGGTAAGATTTAACAATATTTTTTTTCTTAAAGTTATTCTACGCAAACATGCTTGTAAATAGTTTCAGCATACTTTTTTCCCTCTAATTATATCAAATAAATGTGCAAGTGTCTGTAAAGTTTCAGCTGCTGTCATGGCATCTCAAAGCTCAAACTAAATCTTTTGAGCAATGTTTTGTGTTGATTTTGTAGAGGTCTGGAGGACAAGCAGAAGGTTTTACACTGGTAATAAATGGACAATGAGGCAGGAACACCTAACAATTGAGAGGAACCAACTGGCCCCCCAGTAAAAACCCTCCTGAGATTTTCAAAACAGCTCCCAGAATACAGCTAAAGACATAAAACCAGTCAGTTTGCACTCTCAAAATACCAGAGTCGCTTCATTTAAAACAGCTGAATTTTATTAAAGAAGGGGAATTAGTTAAAATTCAAACTTTTATGAACTTGAGATGCACAGGTAAGTGTGGAAATTGCTGTAAAACGTGCTGTAAAATTAAAAAAAAAAAGGCTGAACACATGATAGAAAAGAGCCACGATCTGATACATGGGTGCAGGAATTATTTACAAAGGCTTTCACGTGCTGAAGTCAGGCCACTGACCTGCAGGTTGTGTGGCGCACAAATCCTCAACTGATCCTGTGCCAAAGACACATGTAGAATGAGAGGATGTCCTGTGTCAAAAATAAACCTTTAATTTTAAAACTGGCAACAAACTGCACTGTGGACGTCAGCTCAAAAACAAAAAAATAAAAAGACATAAAAAAGCAAAGAATGCATATTGCCCTTCGTCTTTCGAATGAGAGTTTTAATTAAATAAATCAAATTAAATTAATTAAATTGGAATCATCATAGAAAAATGATGGAGCAGAAGTTGTTTTGGTCAGACTTTGAAAATAACAATAATTAATCTCATGCAATATTGCAAGATGTCACTCTGAGCATGTATTCTGAAGGACTCAGTTAAAACCAGAGCAAACGTCCTGTTACTTTGACAAAGTTACAGCCATTTTTGTGCATTCATGTTAAATTGAGTTTGCTCCAAAACACCATTTAGAGATGTGCATCAAATGATTATTACTTGGAAACTTCATTATAATCTATTCACTAGTTCAAGAGATGTTTTGCTTACAGGATGGCTATTTTCTGACAGTGAATTAATTTTTGTCTGTAATTTTAGGATAAAAAGGGTTTTAATATTGTGATGTTCTGCATAAGTTTGTGCAGTTCAAAAACTCACCTCAGCAGGCGTCTCATAGCTGTGATCTCCATCTGTGGTTGCCGCTTTTGAGGAAAGTTGTTGACCTCTGTTGATTTCAGCGTGTGAAGAGCATCACTGTAAAAAATAACTTCTTTAACTATATCTTCTTTAACTATATTCTTAATAACTTTTACTAGATAATGAAGAGTAAATATTACATGAATTTGTAGCATTTAAATTTACTTAAACATTAGTGCAAGTCGTTTACAGTATTTTCTGAAGTAAATCTCACAAGTTCTTTATAACAGTGCACATGCGTCAAGCACAAGATTGTAGCATGACACCTCACAGCTACAGAGAGGTGTAGCTCTTGTTGTAGTTCAAGACTTCACCACCACGTGGTGGTTTTGAAGAACCTTTATTGGACTTTTCTTCATGAACAAAACAGACAAAGTGAAACTCACAGGTCTTATTAATGACTAGGCCTACCACTCTCACTTATGGTTACTTCTGCTGAACGGTTTAACACAAATTAACAAATAATGAACACACAAATTAGAGTAACACAACAAACTAACTGCTGAAAGAACAATGTTAACCAATTCCCTAAAAATGATTTAACAATAACAAACATGAATCCTACCCACAATCCTCCACTGCAGTCACATGACAAACAGCCAAACACAGCAGAATGCTACAATATGCATTCCCTGTTCTCTGACAACTAAATATTACCTACATTATGCCATCAAACTATTGCACACCAACAAATGTATTCAAGCAAAAGAAACCAGACAACTT